AAAAAAAAAAAAGAATACTGCTTAGAATTTTCTTTCTCCTGTACTAACTCTATTCTGTAGGGTATAGTTCATTCTAAAGCTTGGACTAATTTACAGATGTCTAATATGTTTTTTATTTAACTGCAGTTTGTTACTACTAGTTATTGGCATGGTCATTTCAGTAACTATTAGTTTTCAGTTTTCCTAAGGGAGTGTCCCAACCCTCTGAAGAGCAAACTGTTAACTATCCACATCCATTGTCTCCTTCCTTTGCTCTTGCACAATAATACAGGTACAAGCATGGCAGCCCAGTCGGCCTACACTTCTGAGTGTTTTGCAGGCAAATACGACAAAGTAACAAAGGTCTTTTTTTTAAAGACAGGGTCTGCCTGTGAACTGGCCTTGAACTCACTTATGTAGCCCAGGCTGGCCTCAAACTCACAGCAATCCTCTTGCTTCAGCCTCCAAAATACTGAGACTATAAGTGCAGCACCACCACACCTGGCTGGTGACCAAGGTCTTACCAATGAAATTATGAGAAATAAAGGATGTGTGGCATCTTAAGTATGAGTCTTAAGATACTGGACATAGTTCTTTGCCCTGCTTGCAGCTGTGAGTCCTACATCACAATGATCTTGCTTCACAAATTGTGCGACAAGACAGAGGGAAACTGACCATACAGAGCAGGACCCCCCACACCCAGTGCTCTGGACCATGAACAGAGGAACGACCCAAAAGCCTCTGCGCACCGAGCTTGTGACAGCAGCTTATCCTTCACCCCACTGGATTCCACCCTTCAGACCTCAACCCCTGACAACAATGGCTGTGGGAATTCTCAAGAGATAAAAATCCCACATTGACACCCGGTCTATAGCATGCAAAGTCTGAGCTGAGAGGCCGTACCCACTTTCTCTGCATCTGAGGTTTTTTTCCCTGAAGTTGGGTTTTTCCCCACTTCTAAGAATATTTGCAAAATGATTATGGAGGTAAATGTGGTAGACTGCTGGGCTCTGAGTGTTCCCTTCCTACCCAGCCTCCTGGGATAGTTTTCAGTGAATAAATAGACTTTTAGTGCGGGCATAATACATAAATTTTAAAAGCCAGTTTGCTATAATAACGTCACCAAATAGTAAAGTCAGCACTGTGCCCTTTTTGGGCTTTGTTTTACAGTGTATTAGGAAATAGCTTCCAGACTGTGCTTCATATCCAAAAAAATGTAGGGCATGCTGACTGATGGTGACAGGCTGGAATCCAGGAGATAATGAGAGGAGAATGAACTGGGTACTTATTTTACCTATTTTTAAAAAACGGTAGAAAACCATCTTTTACCACTGATGATAGTATGCCTCAGAAAGTGGTAAAAAATAGAAGCCCAAATATTTCCATAAGCAGATAGGGCCCAAAAAGTCCCCTGGCCTGGTGCTGCCTGGAACCCTTCCGCTTTTTTGTTTCCTTGCTTGTGTGTGCCAGAAAGCAGAGCAGTGCGGAGCAGCGCTGTCCTGCACACGGGTGGGGAGAACCCATGTGCATCCTGGTCATTCTTCTTCAGCTTTTCCTTCTCTATCCCTCCTGGGGGGACTTAGATGGAAGGAAAGAAAACTTGAACATTTACTGATCTAAAACACCTTGTGAGTCTATATTCTATCATGTCTATTCTGAATCTGGTCAACTAATTCAGGACCAAATCCTGAGGAGGCCTCATCCTCTTCAGCATCTGGCAAATTCTGTTCCCACCTAGGACCGGGCCCCTCAAAGGTTCAATTTTGCAGCTTGGACTGAAGCTGTATGTGGTTTCCTAGGTGACATTCTTTTTCTTTTCTTTTCTTTTTTTGTTTTTTTTCTTGCCTGTTTTTGAGACAGGGTCTTGCTATGCAATTCAGGCTGGCTTTGAGCTCACTTTGTAGCCCAGGCTGGTCTTGAACTCACAACAATCCTCCTGCCTCAGCCTCCCGAGTGCTGGGATTACAGGCATGTGCTACCACACCCAGCTCCTACGTGATATTCCTCCTTCAGTTTTAAATAAAACAGTATTGTACCTCAAAGTTAAGGTCTTTCTTAGATTTGTATAGATGTTATATTCTCCTTTGATCCTTTTGATGAGCATTAGGATGAAGTATTTGGAGACATACGTCTTCCTCCTCTGTCTGCCAGCATGCTAACCTTTTACACGTGTCTTAAGCGTAATGGAGTGAAGATGACAGTCGTGGCACATCTACCGGCTGCACAGACTCTGCCAATCTGAATCCCATCAGTGAACCTGCAAGACTATCTGCTCTTAAAGGGAAAAACTTCCCAACAACCACATTTTTACTCAAACATTTTACACAATAACTACTTTATTAAAAGATCTTTTTCTGATTATTAAAGTAACACACTTGTTTTAGAAAACTTGGAAAATACAAAAATTTATAAAAAAGAAATAACCATCCATAATTCCACCAGCAATCAACCACCCAGTACATTTTACTCTTTAAACACTGATCTGTAGCTCACTTGAACTTCAGAAGTCTAGTCACACACAAATCTTGTTTCAAAATACACCACTTCCCAGAGGAAATAACACATAAATACACAACATATAAAAAACATACTCCAACAGAAAAAGGCTTCCTCACAAAGTAGTTTCCTACAAAAACCTCCATTTTCCAAATTGCTCTGAGTCAGAGACCCTAATACAGACTACTAAGCATTTATTAAAATAACCACCAGAAGAGAACAAAGCAGAGGAGAAAGGGCAGCGGCTCATCTCCAGATCCCACCCCGCCCCTTCACGCTGCTAGGAGGAGGGTGGCTGCTTTTCTTCCGAGCAGGGGGTTTTTCAGTCTTAGGAACTGTAGCAAGGCGGCGAGAGACAGCCTGGGAAGGGATCTGAGATTTGAAGGAAGACAGAAGAAATAAGTGTCATATTCTCATCCCTCCATCCCTTGGGGGCAGGCATGGCGTATGGAAAGGGCCACAACCAATCACCACCGGGGAAAGAAAGTCCATGCTCCACCCATAACCAACATCGCAAGTGAAAGCCCATACTCCAGCTACTGGGACCAGAGACAGGAGGGGACAATGCAGAGACAAAGGAAAGGGGTCAGTGAGAGCCTCGTCCTCCCTTGGTCTCTGCCTGATGTCCCCTCACCTCCTTCCGGGAGATCTCAGCCAAGCGGGAGTCTGGGTTCCTTCTGGGGACGCTCTCCCCTCGGCTATCAGTCCTGCCACACAAATCAAGGGTGTGAGGACAGGGAAGGTGCTCACCCCAATTCCACCCAAAAGTGACTGGAAGAAATGCTCCCAAATCGGAACAAATACAATGGCGCTGGGGATTAAAAAACATTAGTGGAATGAAATAAGGAGTTACATGAGATGAGCTACAACGCTAGGGTTCTGAGTTTTGAGTTGCAAGGGTGAAGAGGAAAAACACTGAGGCACAGATACCTGGGGAAGAGGTTTGCTTTGTTTTAGAAGTAAAGAAAAGAGCAGTGACAAGGGAGAGACAAAGGAAGGCAGGAACAGTAAGCAAAGAGCCTGAGTCTACATCGCATTTCTCCTCTCACTGTTCTCCCCCAAGGACAAAAGACCACTCAGTGAGTAACATCTGCATGCCCTCTATCCCGCCTGGCCCATCTCCACAACCCAGACCCCTCCCAGGCTTGTACCCGCTGTGTTCCAGCCTCTTCAGGTACAGCAGCAGATCCTCGGCAGGCAGAGCCCCGCAGCCCCGAGCCTGGTACTGTCTTAACAGCTGGGACACCTCCATCAGCTGCCTCGAGGAGCTGAGCCCGTCTGCACCTGTGAGACAGGTCCATGACAGTGAGGGCCCTAGGCCCTTCTCCCCACCTTCCTCCCTTCTCCCTAGCAATCCAGAGGGCCTTAAAATCCATATCCAGGCCCCCTGCCACAGTCCCCAGTGAACCATGGCCTGCTTACCTTTCTCTGGGGAGCCTGCGCTGGGACCACTGCCTTGTGAGTGGGAAGAGGGAAACTCATGGACTCGGAAAAGACTAGATGCCAAGGCTAAAGGAACTTTGGTTTTATGGACAGGAGGGGGAAGGCGTGGCACGTGAGAGGATTCCTCCCAAGACGGCACAGTCCGGGGACCTAGCAAAAGGGAAGAGACCCAAGAAGAATAAGACAGAGCTAAGGAAGTCCTCCCACCTAGCAGCTCCTCCCATTCACCCTAATCGCCAGCTCCGCCCTCTTCCAGGCCCACAACTCTCGGGAGCTGGAACTCACCACACTTGGTAGGCAACAGGTCAACAGAGGGGCTCTCGCTGTTCTGGGGTACCGTATCCAGCAGCTGGGGGACAAGACCGTAAGGTTCTCTAAAGGACTAGCAAAGAGAGAGAACTAGATCTTGAGGGTCGCAGAGGCTGGTAAAGTAAGGGCTACTGCCAGTGGCCTAAGTTCCGGGAAAGAACTGTATACGAGGAATGAGACAGACAGAGAGAACATGGAGCTGGGACTAAGAATTATTCCTAAAGAGAAGCCAGAGACCTGGGCTCATCAAATAAGGAGAGAAAAAAAGAAAGCGAGTAAGAAAACAATACCTTACCTGCTGCAAAAAATTCTTGAGGCCCTCCAGCTGAGAAGCAGGTGGCAGCCCTTGCTTTAGGAAGCCGTCTCCCTCAGACGCTAGATCTTCCTCAGGTAACAGCCGTTCTGCCCTGTGATCTGGATGGAAGGCCCCGAGTGCAGAGAAGTCTTCAGCTATAAAGCGAATAGGTGGACATGGATGTACATATGTTGCAGGGGAAACGGTCCCTCCATAAACCACTCACCAAATGCCCGAAAGAAAATGTATGATTAAACATAGAGGGGCATCACAGCTAGGAGATGATAAGGAAAGTTTAAAGAGCTGGAGAGAAGGGTTGCAGGTGACTGGCAGGTGGCACAACTGAATTCTTTTTTTTTTTTTTTTTTTGGTTTTTCTCCGGTACTGGGAACCGAACTCACGACCTTGCGCTTGCCAGGCAGGCGCTTTGCCGCTGAGCTAAATCCCCAGCCCGGCACAACTAAATTCTAATATATAAGTGTTAGAAGAAGAAAGCTGGGACCGGGGATATAGCTCAGCGACACAAGCACCTGCCTGGCAAGTGCAATGTCCCGAGTTCAATTCCCAGTACCAAAAAAAAAAAAAAAAAACAGTAAGAAGAAGAAAGCTGAGGCACTCAAACTAAACAATTAAATAGGACAGTAAACTCCTCAAAGAACAGACCTTTTCTGCCTCTTCACTACAATATGCCTCTCAATTTTTTATTATTATCATTAATATTGCTATTATTATTACCATCATTACTACATACTTTTAAAGTTGTAATACATTTCAACACTCATTTTGGAAGGGGGTACTAAAGACTGGAACGCAGGCCCTTGCACATGCTAGGCAAGCACACAACCACTGAGCCACACCCCCAACCTTTTTAAAATTTTGATTTGAGAGGGGGTTTGCCATGAAGCCCAGGCCACCCTCAAGCTTGTAATCCTCCTGCCTCAGTAGCTGGGGTTCCAGGCATATACCATTATGCCAGCCTTCCCCCAAATTCTTAATTCACCCAGGTTGTCATATTTGTATCCCATCCATCAAAGTGGCAGCTGACTAAACCAGGGGTGGACATCCACACCCAAGGTGAGCTAATCCAGCAAATGGTTTCCAACCCACCATGTGGCCTTGTAAGTTTGACCTAAAAAACTGAAATACTAATATCTCTATAAACATCTAAAGTTTGAGCTAGTGCCAGGATGACGGCTGGTCAAACCCATGTACAAACCAAAGTTGTGACGAACAAAAACCTTGACAGAGAGAGACAGAGAATACTCGTTTAGCAAGAAAAAGGAGCAAGTGTGTATGATGAGGCAGTCCAGGGACTACGCAGACCCAGAGAGACGGGACATCTCTCTTAGTTCCCAGTGGCACTTCTGTTCTCATTCCATTAAGCTGTACTATATCACGTTTCCGTGAGCTCTCAACTCCCTTTATCTGAATCGATGTGAGTGAGTTTCTAAGACATCTAGGAAACCAAACGCTCAGGTGCCCGTCAGAAAGGAAACTAGGTAAGGGGGCCAATCAATCAGTGCACCTCAGTGACTTCTGCCCTCAGTTACCTATGGGTGGAGTGAGATCTGGTTTGGGTTCCAGGGGCTGGAAGGAATGCTGGCTCTGGAAAGAGGGGCCCAGCAGGAGGCTAAGGTCTGGGGAGGAACTGCAGTCGACAGGTGGCACTCCAGGCAGCTCGTCCCTTGCTTCCCGGCTCTGCTGCAACACGGGCTTCAGGGCCACGGCCACAGGAGGCACGGTCCAGATCCTCCTCTCCCCCTTCTCTGGTTCTGGGGGATCAGAGCTGGAGGGCCCAGTGGGAGGAACCTAGCAGGAGGAGGAAGGCAGGAAGAAAGGTCAAAGCCCACTGGGTTCAAAGAAACAAGACACGGTATGGATGCTTGAATAAGATTATGAACTACTGTACTAAGACATTCTTAGAAGGAGATTGGGTAATACCTAGCCATTTCTATCCCCCCCCCCCGCTTTTTTTTGGTTTTTCAAAACAGGGCCACTAAGTTGCCAAAGCTGGCCTTGAACTCATCATGGTCCTCGTTCCTCAGCCTCCTGAGTGCTGTGATTATAGGCATGTGCCACCATGCCTGACTTCTATCAGATTTTAAACAATTCATTTTTGATCTTACAATTCTATTTCTAAAGATTTTATAGGTACCTTACACAGATATATATTTTAATGATACTGTAATACTGTAGATGCAAATATATGAAACTATTATACCCATCAGTAACAGCTAGGTTGATTAAAAAGTCACACAGCAGCAGATAGAAGGGGACCATTTAGGATTTGAGATGGGGGAGTGGGAAGGGGAAGGAGGGTAGATACTCAAGACACCAGCTCAGTGGCTGCTTCTGAGAAGGGGACCTAGGGGATGAAGACACAGGGACAGGATGGGGTAACTTTTCACTGTATACTTTCTTGTAAACAGTTCTGATTTTTTTAACCATGTGCATATTAATAACTATTGCAGAAAACATGTTAGCTAATAATAAAAATTTCATAATTAAAAGGAAGTAAGAGATGCCAATATAAGAAGGGATAAGGGTAAGACTGTATTCTGGTGCAAGACTTAGCAACAACATTTTTAGCCCTTACACCCATAATTAAGTCAGCTGTCATTCTACCAAGTGAGAACCACGGATGATTCATCACCTCCAGGGACTGGGAGAAGTTACACCCAGTGAAGTTGGGCCAGTCCAGGAGAGCTATGTCCATGGGGAAAAGCTTTATTTTGGCAAGGTAGCTGTGCTTTAGAAAAGTCCACAGGTTTTTTTCCACCCTGAATGTGGGCCCTACTTATGACTTCCCTGGGGAGGGAGCTAGGCTTCCACGGAAGGAATCTAGAACACAATCCTGAGATGCTCAGCTTTAGGAGTGATACCTACCGGAGGGTTAGGAGGCGGGAGGATGGTGCTGAGCAGCTGGTTGACCTCATCCCAGTGGGCCTGCAACATGGCCTGGAGCCGTTCTACCATCTCCATCCGCTGCTCCTCCAGCTGCTGGTTACCACTCTGCAGGTCTCGCACTCGAGCTTGCTCCCGTGCCAGTCTGAAGGAAAGAGGCGAGAGGTGACTCTCTGCCTTTAAGGAAGTACAGACATGGAGGATAAGAGTAAGGATAGGATGTCAAACATCTGTGACTCTAAAAGGAGTGCCACAAATTTAGAAGAGGACAGAGAATCTACAAGAAGCAGCTCTTTACCATTCCCAATCCAGGCTCCACCCATGGTGAAGGGGCTGAGGCAAAGGATACTCCAGGAACTAGCACCTGAGCTCATAGTCCTGCGCCACCTGCTGCTGCCGTTCCTCCCGTTCTGCCATTTCCACTTTGAACTGAGCCAGCTGAGTGGCCAGTTCCTGCTGGTGCTGTCCATTAAGGTCCTGCAGCTGCTTCCTAGGGCGGCACAGGTGAGAACACAGGGCTGAGACCGGAGACAGACGTGGTCAGTGAGAAAAAGAGTGTGTGCAGTGACGGGGAACACGGCCTGCTCCCAATTACCTGCCTAGCCATGGCTGGGAAAATGGAAGGACAGAGCTGGGGTCTCCGGATGGGCTCCCCAGAGACGAAGACAAGAATTTATGACAAAGTGAGGTATTTAAGAAGCATTTCTAGAAACAAAACTGGTATGGGTAAAAAATAAATGAAACTGGGATGGGGAAGGGACTCAGTCCCACAGGACAGCTCTGAAGGCAGCATAGGTCACACTTTGGCGCAGTCCCAGCAAGCTAGACACTTCACAGTCCTACACCCTTCATTTCACAGTTAAGGGCTCCTCCCTACAGGAGAAAATCTACAGGCCCTGGCTTCTTCCCAAGAGGCACCAAGGTCCCAGCTAATGATGTATAATGATGTAATGAAAGTATCCTGGGAGCTAGTGGCTACAAAATGGTAAAGGACACCAAGAGCACGTGGGCAGGGCACTGACAATACCCGCTGTGGCCAAGAGAAGCAGCACCAGTAAGTCCCAAGTACCTGTGATGTTCCCTCAGGGAGGCCGTTTGCCGTAGGCTGCTCTCCTGAGCCTGTGCCAACCGCTCGGTCACCTGCTGCTCCAGCTGCACAGCCAGCTCTGACTCCATCTGGATCCGCTGGCTCTCAAACCGGGCCTGGGAGAGAAGCAAGGTGGGGTAACCACTCAATCCTGTTGCTTAGAACACAAAGAGGATACGATGTACCCCAAATCCAGTACCAACATTCTCCTCCTCTGCCTAAGGGATGAAGAACAAGAATCTTGCCACAGGAATGAAAGAGGTTTCCCCATATATTATGTATGCACACAAAAGTAAAAATAGCTTCAGACAAAAAATATATATGTTTGTTTTTTCATTTTTGTTTTGTTCTTGAGATATAGTCTTACTATGTAGTCCAGACTGACCTCACACTTGTGACCCTCCTGCTTCAACCTTTTGAGTGCTTGGATTACAGCTGTGTGCCACCATATCTAGTTTAAGGAATGTATTTTAAAATTTTTTATAAGCATCTGTTTGCAGAACATAATGAATACATTCATTGTGGGGAACTGATACATGTACATAACACATCTCATGTTTTTTTCCTCCTCTTGCTCTCCATCCTCATTTTTGTTAATTTTTTTTATTTTTTCTGTTTTCTTTTTTGGCCAGCATCAGATTTATTTTACAAGTCTTTATCAAGTTAATTATCATAAACACAGATTAATGGCCAGACTAACAGGTAAAAGACACACAAAACAATTATGTAAATCAAGGTACACTTTTATTTTATTTTGTGATCTTTTTGAGACAGGGTCTCACTATGCAGTTCAGGCTGGCCTTGAACTCACTTTGAGCCCATGCTGGCCTTGAATTTGCAGTGAGCCTCCTGCCCCAGCCTCCCAAGTGCTGGGACTGCAGGCATGCACCACTATGCCTACCCAAGGTACACTTTTAGATACACTGACCATGCTGAATTACAGTAAATTTTTTCTCTCTCTTTTTCTATTGTTTTCTACTTTGCACTTCATTTCTATGTTGGATTTTTCATATAAAAGAAACTATGCAATATTTAAGCTTGTGTGCCTGATTTGTTTCACTTAACATTATGGTCTCAAAGTATACCCATTTTCCTACAAATAACTCAGATTTATCCTTCTTTATGACACAGGAGTACTTCCTATGTATAAATACTATATTTTCTTTATCCATTCCTCTGCTGCTTGAGAAATGTATTTACCACTGGGTGTGGTGGTGCACACCTGTAATCCCAGCACTCAGGAGGCTGAGGCAGGAGGCCTGCCATGAGTTCAAGGCCAGCCTAAATTACAGAGTGGGACTCTGTCCCAAAAAAAAAAAACAAAAAGAGAAAGAAAAAAATGTATTTATTAACCCAGGGAAACGTTAGGTAGAGTAATCCTCTGATATGTGTTAGAAATAATGTATGTAGTATCCTCAGTAGAATACCTAAAATCTACCAGCAAGATAAATGTCCCTTGCTCCATAAAGAGTTGGTCTACAACTGCTGTCTCCATTTTTCACCTATTTCTTCTTCACTGAAATCTGATTTCTATTACAGTACTTTACAGAGCTTCATTCTAAATCCATCAGTGGCTATTTCTCAGTCTTTCTCTAATGTGATCTCACTGCAACACCTGACATCCCAAGTGAATCCTCTCTTCGACAAACCTATTTCCCTCAGCCCCTGCCCCCATACCGCTCCTCATTCCCATTTTATCTAAAGTCTCAGCTTCAGTTCCATCCTTCTTTTCTACTGCATGCTAACATTCCAGGTGCATAATTAACTTTTACATTTAGATTAGGTTTTTGCTATCATTTATATCTTAACACTCTGTAAATGGACTAGACCTTCTTCCAAGATTTAAAGTCCATATACCAGTGACCTAATAGATAGTTCTATTTGGATATACCTCAGGTAGAAGACACTCAAAATTCAACTCATTTGGCTTTTACCCTCTGTAACAGTTAATCTTGTTAACTTGATTGGACGAGAGATGCCCAGACCTAGACAAGTGATTGCATTGTGAGGGCACTAACCTCATCCCTGGATTAATCCATTAATGACTTCACAGCTGAATGGGCTATTAGGAAGTGGGGCCTAGCTGGAGGAACTAGGTCACTGGGGGCCATGCCTTTTGAAGGGTCTATCTTGTTTCTGGCCCCTTCCTCTCTGGCTCTCTGCTTTCTGGCTGGCCTGAGGTGAACAGCTTTCCTCCACCATATTCTTCCACTGTGGTATTTCTGCCTTAGAGCCAGTCAACCATGGACTGAAACCTCTGAAGCCATAAGGCAAAATAAGTCTTTTCTTTTTTAAATTGTATATGTCATATATTTTGGTCACAGTAACAAAAATCTGACTAATACACCTTCACATCTTTTCTTCCTATTATATTTCCTGCTCACTTGAGCTGTGTGAAACCTGGAGTTATCCTTGACTTTTCTTACTTTTTCACTCCCAACTGGCCCAATTCTACTTCTTGACTTGCTCTCAGAAACTCATCTACCCTTGTGCCCGATGTGGGGGCTCACACCTGAAATCCCAGCACTTTGGAGGCTAAAACAGGAAGATCACTGTGAGTTCAAGGCCAGCCTGGGCTACATAGTGAGTTCAAGGCCGGCCTGAATTACATAGTGAGATCCTGTTTGAAAAAAACCAATCCAAAACAAAACATCTACCCTTAATACACACTGCACATAAAAATAGAGGCCCAGAAAGGTCAAAATTCTAGTCAGAGGCATAACTAAGTGTCCTGGTTCCCAGCTCAGTGCTCTTTGTTTAATATTATACCTCCACCATGGTTAGAACACAGCTCTCTCCAACCTTTCCAGCAAACTATACTCAGTTCAGCCCTCTACTGCTTGCTTTTGTGAATAAAGCTTTGTGGATCATTACATGCCCACTTATTTACATATTGCCTGCAACTACTTCTGTGGTATAACAGTATAGTCACCTGAGACCATGACCCACAAAGTCAAAAATATTTATTCTCTGGTCCTTTGCAGAAAAGATTTGTTGAGCCTTGTTCTATTACATGGCAAGGGTCTGACTACATTAAAGTTAAGGTTCACTGCATTAGCTAGGTAGAAAGCATTTTCAGAAATCTAATTGTATCTGACAAACAATATGTAGGTACTATTCTATCCCAGCCCATGAGAGGTTATGAGAATCTCATAAGTAAATAAAACAATCATTGATCTCCTGAGTCCCCAACCTACTCAGTGAAATTAATACAAGTTATTTAAGTAATAAGAATTACAAAGCAGACTGTTATGACTAGAATCAGATCTTGACAGAAGCTTTCACCTGTTCATATAGTCGACCCAAAGTGTAGTGTGATCTTTTAAAATAATACAAACTATCTTGAATAGATTTAATTCCCTTTACTTCTGTAAGTATCACTAGGCTAGTCCAACCCTGGGAAATTGTCACTCAATGAGAAATGGCTCTGAGTTTAAGACAGGAGAAACAGTTTAAGACATAGAAACCACTGATGGGAAAAACCAGAATACCTGAAATGGGATATTGGCCATGACTCCCAAGGCCTCAGAACCACTTCTCTCAGCCATTAAAAAAAAAAAAAACCCTCCGACACCCTCTGCCTGCTGACCTGCACCAAGCTCATCTCCAGCTGCAGGGCATCTCTCTCTCTCCGAGCCGTGTCCAGCTCCCCTTCTAGCCGCCGCACCTCAGACTGCACCAATGCCAACTGCTGCTGGGCTTCCCGGGCTGCCTGGGCCTCCCTCTGGCTGTTCCCCTTAGAAACGGAAAGCAAATGTGAGACATACCTCATCTCCTGTCTCCATCTTCCCATGCCCTAACTAAAACCCAAGTTCCCCTCCCTCTGCTCCATGTGTACTATTTCCTCCTCCCTATTTAAAAATGTCACTCTGTGGCCTACCATGTACTTAATGCCCCACTCCTTCTTGCTGACCCTACATGTTCAACCTTGCTTCCCACATACAGCTCTCCACTCTCCATCCCTGTCCGCTTTTCATACCCCACATTCTGCCATCCTATCCCCTTCGGTAACTTTGCCCTTCATCTCTTCCCGTTCCCCAAATCTTCCCAATCCTGTTTTCACCTTTTCCCTTTCCAGCTGAGTTTGGCCCTCCTCCTGCAGTGTATGGATGCGCTCCTTCAGCTGGTGTTCTTGCTGGGCCCAGGCCTGCCGCTCTTCTTCCAGGGCAACCTGAAGGGTCTCCAGCTTCCGATGCTCACTGAGTTGCCCAGCCCGAGCCTCATCCCGCTCTTCCTGCAGGGCATGGCTCCGCTGCTGTTCAACCTCCAAGCTGAGGGTCAGAGCTTGCCTTTCCTCTTCCTAAAGCCCGATGGGAAAACCAAGATCTTTAGTAGGCTCTCAAAGCAACCTGCCCTCATACAGTGTGTCTGCTAAGAATTATGCCCATTGAAAATATAACAGCTGAGCTGGGGATATAGCTCAGCAGCACAAGCACCTGCCTGGCAAGTGCAAGGTCCTGAGTTCGATTCCCAGTACCAGGAAAAAAAATTATATATATATATATGATAGTTGACAGGCTCAAAGGATTACAACATAAATAAGATCTCCTATCCTAGAATTACGTGGACTTGGGTTTATATTTTAGTCTCTATCCTAGCTATTGTTTATTTACTGTGTGTTCTTAGGAACATATCCTTATCTGTAACATGGAGATAACAGGGTCTGCCTTGCGAGGAGTAAGGTAAACTGTGTATGTAAAGCTTTTGGCACAATGTTTGGCACACAGGAAATACTCCATACACAATAGCAACCACCGCTATCATCAAAAGAAACTCCACAGCTGGGTGTGGTAGCACAAGCCTGTACTCCCACCAATCAGGAGGCTGAGGCAGGAGGATCACAATGAATTTGGGACAGCCTGGGCCACATAGTGAGTTCAAGGTCAGGCTGGACTACATAGTGAGACCCTGTATCAAAAAAAAGAAAAAAAAAAAAAGAAAGAAAAGAAAACTCCACAGACCAGCAGAGTCAGCACATAGAGACAAGCCAAGGAACAAACACCACCTCTAATGTTGCATGTAGCCTGCAAAGACCACAGGTATCTGTCTGCATGTAGAAAACATGTGTCATGCAAGCAGCAAGTTCCAAACCTGGGTACCAACTCTGACAGATAATCATCTGTTCACTTCATCTCTAAGAAATTTACATGAGTCTTATCCCATACCTTCCTATACCTGTTCTGTTATTTGATGGTACTAAAGAGCAAACTCAGGCCTTCAAACCAGGCCCTCTTTATATTTTTGGGGACAGTTCTCACTATGTTGATAAGTTGCCCAGGCTGGGCTTCAATCTGCAATCCTCCTGCCTCAGTCTCCCAAAGGGATATCACACCTTTTTTGCTACAACCTAGACCAGAGTTCCCAAACTAGAATGAATAAAATCACACAGGAAATTTCTGAAAATATATAAATTCTCTAACTCCACCATATACTACTAAATCAAAAAATCTGGGAGAACTGGGGGTTTGGCTCAGTGGTACAGTGCTTGCCCAGCATGTATAAGACCCTGGGTTCAATCCCCCACATTAAAAAAAAAAAAAAAAAAAAAAAAAAAAAGCAACCTCTGTCCTCTGGGGATGGGTCCTACAAATCTATATTTTAAAACAATTCCACTTTGGAGGCTGAGGCAGAAGGATCACTGCAAGTTTGAGGCCAGCCTCTAGTACATAATTAGTTCAAGGCCAGTCTGGACTATATAGTGAGACCCTGTCCGAAAAAAACAAACAAAAACAATTCCTGAGATGATGGTAATGTTTTATTGAAGATATAATTTGCAGAGTCTCTCAAAGTCACTTGGCAGCAGAGCCTTTTTTGGTAAAATATCTAGCAGAACTAGTGCTCTCAGAAACACAGCCTTGGCAACACCAATAACACTCCCACAGTCCACCAATAGCCTGTCGCTCTCTAGAAGTGAGAGCCTCCGCTGGAATGATTCCAGCCTTCTTACCAGCGCCTCTCTTTCCTGTTGCTGCAGTCTGGCACCTTCCTGCTCGCGATTTAGGGCCTCCATGGCCTCTGAAAGGCTTTGTTCTAGGCGGGTTACTGTCTTCCAGGGAGAGAAGAACATAGGGCAGAGGAAATGAAGAAAATTTCTCTATGCTCTACTGGAAAATCATTAACAATGTAAAGTTGAAACTTTAGAGTTAACTAAATGAGTTGGAGGCCAAAGAGAAAACTATATTGTATGGGGAAAACTGAAAAGCCACAATTCAAACTTGACAGCAAAAATAGTGAAAGGAGAGGAAAAAGGGACAAGAAGAATTATCAGGACAGCTACTGCGAGACGGAGGTCAATCTGTTTGGAACCCTAATTCAAGAGCTATTTCTGCCGCTTTCTTTCAGATCTGCAACCTAGGTTTTAGCGCCATACGATCCAGGTCACTCACTTCTTGCTGCTTGCTTCTGGTGAGTTCTGCCGCCTGGCGTTCCTCTTGCAGCCCCCGAAGCACTTCTGTCCGTTCGGCTTCATGCCGATTCCAGCCCTCCACCACTCGGGCCAGGGTCTCCAGAAAGACAAATCAGGTGAAATTTCAAAATAACTTTTTGCCCTCTTTCTACCCAAAGGGGCAAAGTCAACAGCCACTTTCTCCCAACAGTTAATAAACCCATTCCCTACCCCAGCTCTTTGCATGCACAAAGAAATAAACCCTTATCCCCCTCATTTACTACTCCTTAAGACTCTCCTTGGAGAGACTCACCACCCTTGCTACCCTGGCACCTTGTCCAGTTGTTCAATCATGATATCTTTCTTGCGGTCGGCAGCCACAGCCACAGCTAACTGTTGCTGTAGCTCTAGCACTCGGGTCTGCAGACTCTGAATGTGGCGTTCACAATGCTGGAAAGAAGGGTAAGGACTCTGGGTCTTTCTCATCCTTCATCTGACTACAGCACCAAACTTTCTAGTTTCTCCAAGGGAAAATAGGCTGGAATCAGGAAACTTGGGTTCCAAGAACAGAATAGGTTTAAAGAGGGAGAACCGTGAATTCTTGAATGGGAATATAAGGTCCAAGATTTCCACTGCCTTCCTCCACCTTCTTGGGAAATAGGTACTTAGATTCTAGACTCTTCTCTTTTCCTGGAATCCCGAGAAAAAAAATCTCCTAAATCTTTTGGCGGAGGTGCAGCAGCTCACAGGGAAGAATGTGGGAAGTTACTCCCGCATTAAGGAGCTCATAAGATACAATGATTCAACAAAGCAATAATAAAAGGAAAGCCTTTCATTCATGCCCAAGCAATTTAAAAGAGGGGAAGAGAGGGTTCCAAAAATGACAACAAGTGATTCGGACTTTTCCATGCCCTTGTCCACCTCTGTCCCCTTCAGATATTAAGGCTGAGGCTCATGGAAATAAGGCTCACTATATTACCAGTAGCTACAAAGCCTTGCAAAAGCCCGCAAAGTTCACTGTCCATTGAACAAATGCATATGGGGTGTTTCTATGTGTTAAGTATATTCTAGAGCAGGCCGGGCACGGTGGCGCACGCCTGTAATCCCAGCATTCAGGAGGTTGAGGCAGGAGGATCGTTGTGTGTTCGAGACTGGTCTGGGCTACAAAGTGAGCTCAAGGTCAGCCTGAACTGCATAGCAAGAGCCTGTTTCAAAAACACAGAAAAAAAAAAAGTATATTCTAGGGCAGTGGTGGCGAACCTATAGCACATGTGCCACAGCAGGCTGTTTGTATCACTGAAAGCTCTAAAAGGTTCACCGTCACTGTTCTGGACCATAGGGATCCAGTGAAAGGACAAGTTACTGACCCTTGGAGAGTTTAGATTTTAAATGAGAGAACAAACAATACATATAAGAATGAGAAGCTGTATGGTGGGAATCATAAAGTGATCTGAGTAACTATCTGGAGGGAAAGTAGCATCACCTTACACAGGATGATCAAAAAGGGCTTCCCTGAAGAAACACTTGAGCAAAGTCCCAGCTTTCAGGCTTCTAACTCTCAGCCTTTTTCAGCACTCAAGTCCCTTCTCTAATCTTTGCAGCTTTTAGAAGGAAGCTTTTCTACCTCACCTTACGACGGGTATGCTCTGAATCCAGTGCATCTCTTAGCCCCTGAAAATCTGGGGGATTAATTGGGAACCCTGGCCGAAGGCTGGTATAGCGGGGAAACAACTCTTCCAAAGCTTGTGCTGAGCTGGACGGAGATAAGTCTTGCAGGAGCCGGGTGCTGAGCAAATTAGATACAGAATATTAGGGTTAGAAAAGCCTTTGAGATCCATTAGTTCCACTGTAACATTTTATAAATAAGGAAACTAAGATCCAGAAAGGGTAAAAGATGTGCCCAAAAGCATAAAACCAGATAGTGCTAAAACCATAAATAGCACATAGGCCTGTGATTCTTTCTACAATGCTCCTGCCTCAATACCACACCTCTGCGGTAACGGTCTCAGTGCAAACAAGTTAAAACTCTTCTAGAAGAAAACGGACCAAGGTTGAGAGAAAGCCAGGCAGCAGGCAGATGCTGCCCACTTCTGGAAGGAATAAAGGTAGTAGAAGATAGGAAAAATAAAAACTAAAAGCTAAGTGACAAACTTCTTAAATCCTTGAGAGGTACATAGTAGTCAAGAGAGAACTAAAACTAGAACACTCAGATTTCTAAGAAAACACCCAAAGAGAACTCACTTGAGCAAGGTAGCTGTGCTGTCACTGTCAAAGGACTCCTCTTCCCGTTTGTCTAAGCCAGCACCTGCAGTGAGACGGTCCCCCACAGACAGCCCAAGGGATCCCCACGGGTAGGGTCAGGTAAAGACAGGAACAAGGATCTTTGACAGAGAAGAAAGGAGACAGCTTTCCTCCCCTCCCCAAGCTGGCTCCCAAAGAATGGATGCCTTTTCTCCTGAAATCAGTCTCAGGGGTCTAGGTTTCCTTCCAAGGTTCTCTCCATTTTGCTCCACCCCTTGCATCTAGGTTCTTCTTCAGAGCACTAGGGGGTAGGCTTACTTACGATAGGCTGCATCACGTGAGGTTTGGAGCATGGTCTGGAGTTGACCCCGAACACTTTCCATCTCAAAGATATGTTTAGAACCATCCTGGGGGCAGAAGGGAAATCGAACATGGAAATCAGATGCAACCTGTACAATTTACAGTCTATCTACTGCCAACATATAGTTTTAACTTCAGCACCAGGGAACATTACAAAAGGGAAACAGACCTAATAAGGAATGTCTTAACCTTGAGTCAGAAACCCAAATGCCTATAGAAGCCAGAAAAGTAGTACAAATGAGTAAAATGGGTAGGTACAGGGATGGTGGGAATTCTTGACAATTAAAGAGCAAATGCCCAGTCTAAATGCTGTGTAGCCCATGGTTATCACATTTTAAGCTCTGGAAGTCCTAGCCCAGTGGTGACCAATCTGTGGCATGTGTGCCTTAGCAGGCTATTTGTATCACTGAAAGCTTTAAAAGGTTCACCATCACTGTCCTAAACCAGTCTGCAGATTGATGTCAACACGTTTTCCATCCAAGACAAATATTTTCTCTGTAACATGTTTAACAGATAGACTATGCTTGATTTGCATGCCAAATTTTGAACAATATACTCAAAATAATTTTGAGCTGAAGGATTTTTAGCATATTATGCTGTTAAGTCCCCCGTTCCCTTCCACCTGGAATCAAAAACACTTATCCCCACTTCCAGTGCCCAGATCCCAATCACAAGACACCAACATATCCTAAAGCATAGCTGTCACTGACAAAAAAAAAAAAGAGGAAGTCTTACAATTCTCTAAATTATGGTGTTCCAGATCATTCTCTCTCTCACAAACATGTGTTTTCAGAAATACCTTTTATTACATAGTCAAAAAGAAATTTAAATTCAGCAAGAACCACTGAAACCCCAGTACAGCTAACCTGCAATCCCAAGACTCTCATATTTAGCACCTAGAGGTCCCTAAGACACACCTCCCTCACCTTTTTCTTCAAGTTGTTCTCCAATCCGACTGACAAGCTGCGACTCAGCTCTTGGGCCAGGCCATCTAAGGCCTCATGGGGAGGTGGGGAGGCAGAGGCTAAATACAGCTGAGCTCTTGCGGTGGCCTCTGCCTGACGGCTGAGGTGCAAAGAAGTATAGAGCTGCGAGGTCACCTCAGAGGACACCTGGTTCAGTCCAGAGGGTTCTGATGACTCACTCATGAGATCCTCTGCCTGGAGGGGTGAACTGGGGCTGGTAGTTGATGCGGCCATGAGTACAGGGAGAAGACAACTAGAAACAGCAGAAAGCTGGGAACTTCTGGTTCAGCTTTAGGAGAGTCCGGGAGTAAAGTTAACAGAGAAAGAAGTTATGGGAGAAGAGGGGGAAGATCCTTTGTGGATCGTTGGTGAATAAAGATATTAAGGCTTTCTGGTTAAAGGAGAGGTTTCTTCTGGTTCCAGGGGCCATGGAAAGAGCAAAGGCACCCCTTTTCCCAGCTCCTGGGGACGGCGGAAGAGGATGCATACAGAGGGCTGGGACCAAAAACCCACTGGGGGGGGGGGGTAGCGGGCAACAGGAGTGCAGTTCTTCCACGCAACTAGAGTGCTGGAAGCTGCAGGTCAGCTCTGGCACAGGCGTCCCCCGGCCAACTGAGTTCTTCAGTTCTCACGCCCAGAACGTGCAAACTGAAAATGGACCTCAGTGTCCGTCCCTCAGCTGGTTCCACTGTCAAGACAAGCACGACCTCACGCCTCGCCCTACCCTCCTGACGTTCCTCGGGTCAAATCCCTTCTATACTCCCTCTAAACCCTCCTGACAAGAAAGCCATAGCAGGGATCCTGAGGATCGCTCCCATCACCTCAGAAAAAACCTTGCGAACCCTCAGTCTCACGCTCAGACGTCCCCCGTAAGTATCTCGCGCTACAACTAGCCTGAGATCTCTACGGCGACCACCCTGTTCCTACTACTCTCCGTACCTCAAACCCCACCTCCGAATTTACCAAGGTGGAAAGGACTGCCCCCCTCCCCTGAGCTCGAGTCAGGAAAGACAAAGACCCCTCTCCGCACGCAGTACTCCACTCTGAAAACCGTTGGCAGTCTCCCGCCCACCGCCCACCACCCCGCCCCTCTAGCGTGGATGACGTCACTCGCCCGCGAGACTAAACTCTGGCAGTAGCTCGCAACGCTTCTGGAGCCTGGGAGCCTAAGCGCGCTTGCGCCGCCCTGACGGCCACGGATTGGTCGAGGGAGAGAGGCGGGGTCTGACAAAAGGGTGGTGTTACTGCCCCGCGGTTGCAATTTGAAGACTCAGAGGGGCGGGACTCCTCGGAAACCGGAAGTAGCTCATCTCCAGCGTTCGGAATAATTCCGGTGAGTCTAAGGGTGGGGTGCCCTCCTGGCTGGGGGGACTTGGGGCCAAGAACCCGAGCCTAAAGAGTTGGGGCGGCCCTGGAGCGAGGCTCACACTCCCTGTCCTGCAGATGACTGTCCACAACCTATACCTATTTGACCGGAATGGAGTGTGTCTACACTACAGCGAATGGCACCGCAAGAAGCAAGCAGGGATCCCCAAGGAGGAGGTGACAAGAGGGCCCCAGTGCAACTCGGGTGACCTCGCATCTCCAAAAACACTCTCTACTCCAGCCGCCACTTCTCTAAATCTCGACTTGTTCCTACTCCCAACCCTATCTCACTCAAAACCGAAACCTAACTATGTCCCTTTCCTTCCAGGAGTTCAAGCTGATGTACGGGATGCTCTTCTCTATCCGCTCGTTTGTCAGCAAGATGTCCCCGCTAGACATGTACGCCATGTCCGAGGAGATGTTGAGAGGAGGGCTAGCCTTTGGAATTTGGGAGGGGTTCTTTCAGGAATGGAAGGGACATTGGCCCCCCAAAAGGGAAGGGGAAAGGCGGAGTCAGAGCAAGAGCACTGAAGCCTCAAAGAGTAGTAGTAGGAAGTCTGAAAATAAAGAGGTTGAGGGCCGGGGTTGAATTAAGAGGTAAAGATGGGAGGTTTCTTATCCAGGCATGGTGGCACATGCCTGTAATCCCAGCACTGAAGCAAGAGGATTGCTGCGAGTTCAGACCAGCCTTGCTACACAGTGAGTTCAAGGCCATCCTATGCTACATACCCAGACCCTGTCTTAAAGGGGGAGGGAATCTTTACTCCCCCAGGCGCCTACAAACTATGTGTTTAGATGAAAAGGAAGTTTACCATGAGGGGATCAGAAATGTTTCTTTGAGAGAGAGTCCACTCTCTCTCGCTCTCTTTTTTTTTTTGGTAACAGGAATCGAACTCAAGACCTTGCGTTTTCCATTCTCATCTTTAACACCCATCTTTAACGTCTCTGCAGGAAGGACGGCTTCTTGGCCTTCCAAACTAGCCGTTACAAACTCCACTACTACGAGACACCCACTGGGATCAAGGTTGTCATGAATACTGACTTGGGCGTGGGACCCATCCGAGATGTGCTCCACCACATCTACAGTGCGGTTAGTGGCAGCCCAGGGGACACGTCCACCACAGCCTCTTACCCACATTCAAAACCCAAAGAGTCCCTCAGGTTTTCTCCCATAATCCTACGGTATATCTCTGTTGGACTCAAGACTTTTTGTGAGAGTCTTAAGTTCTTAAAAACTCCCACCACCAATTTCTGCTAAGGGAAGGCTTGCCTCACAGCCCTGGGTCCTTGTGCATTTATACTACAGTCCTGAGGCCAGACTAAGTTGAAAATGAGAAAGTATGCAAAGCCCAGTTCTTACACTCTTCTTCCCCACAGCTGTACGTGGAACTGGTGGTGAAGAATCCACTGTGCCCTCTGGGCCAAACTGTGCAAAGCGAGCTCTTCCGCTCCCGGCTAGACTCCTATGTCCGCTCTCTGTCCTTCTTCTCTGCCCGAGCTGGCTGAAGAATACTACCTCATCCGTCAGAAGAATTTGTGACTGCCTGGGGCCCTCCCTAACTTGCCCCCTCTGAGGATACTATAAGCCCCTCAACCAAACCCTCTCCTAGGGCAGCAGCCTAAAGCCTCCTCCTCCACCCCACCCCGGGAATCCCTACATTCCCAAAGCAGACCCGGTTTTATCCCCCAGTTGACGCTTCAAGCAGCAGAATACAGAATAAACTTTTGTCATCCTCAGTAGCCTGAGTGTATCAGTTTGAGTGGGCCAATCGGGTTCTGCCCCCACATAAGGCTGGCCACACCCCTCCAAAGTCTGAAAAGGGGTTTTACCAACGGATTTCTCAAAAGCTGTATTGTTGACATTTTGGGCTGGGTAATTATTGTGTTTTGTAGAATTTTAGTACATCCCTCCTCACGCCGCCACCCCCCCCCCCGCGTTGTGACAATCAAAATGTCTCTAAATTTTGTAACATGTTTCCTGGGGGATAAAGTCCCTCCTGACTGAGAGCCTCTGGGCAAGGGTAAGATTGACATGCCTTGGATACACAGGGTATGAAAAACACGCTCCAGGAATCAGATCTCACTCTTCAGAGCACAGTATTCTAGCCGCGGAGCCTTGGCAGGCGGGCTTATGCAAATGAGCTGCAGGTTCGGCTGGGAGGCGGTCCGGTATATGTAAATGAAGGGGCGGTGCCTGCATGTTGATGAGCTGGGCCCGCTGCCGACGCTGCTGGGAGCCCAGCGGGTCCCACTGCGGTTCGGGCTGAAGTGGCACCCCTCTCCCGTCAACCTCTCCTCCCTGGGTCCCTACCCTCTGACGATCGCCCTTTACCTTTACCCTCATCCATCTCCCCTCCTACCCCTTGCACCAGTGCCCCCAGTATCTGAAAATCTTTGCCCCCGGCGCCCCCGGTATTGCTCCCTCGCCGCTGCAAAGCCCGCGACCTCCCGCAGCCCGCCCCCGCGGGCCCAAGCCTGTCTGGCGGCCCCCGCGGCAGCCTCCTCAGCCTTCCCGCTTCCCCAGGGATCGCCCCACGCTACCCGGCGTGTCCGCCCTCGGGCTTCCCCGCCCCCTCGGAGCCCCCTCCCTCGCCCTGGCCAGCCGGCATGCAGGTGTCTATCGCGTGTACCGAGCAGAACCTTCGCAGCCGGAGCAGTGAGGACCGTCTGTGCGGACCCCGGCCCGGCCCCGGGGGCGGTAATGGCGGGCCAGCCGGCGCGGGGCACGGGAACCCCCCGGGGGGTGGAGGGCCGGGCCCCAAGGCCCGAGCCGCGCTGGTCCCCCGACCCCCGGTGCCTGCTGGGGCCCTCCGAGAGAGCACAGGCCGAGGCACTGGCATGAAATACAGGTATGGGGTGGCCGGGCAGCCCGCCCATCCGCTCCTCTTTCGGGACCCCTGAGGTTTCCCGGGATGGCCGCCAAGACCCCTTCAAACTTCGCTAAAAAGGTCCCCGTTCATTCCAGCTCTTCAATCACCGGCACTTCCCAACTTGGTCCCCCTCTTGGTCTTGTCAGTACCCCCTGACTATGAGAGGGATCAAGTTTACCAAGGTTGACTGAGTCCTGTTCAACCCAGAGGATGCCTCTGAGCTTCCCCCTCATTGCTAGGAAGGCGGGGGACCCACGGAAATTACAGCCTGCGCCTCAATGGAGTGTCCTTGGGTCGGTGTCCTGGGCTGAGGAGAAGGCAAACGGCTTCTCGCTCCGGCCTGCTGGGGCACCTGACCCAGATACTGCCCTCACCTGAGCTGAGTTCCTGGTCCTCCCGGGTGGGAGCAAGGGAGAGGAGGGTCGAGGGGCTGTGGGAAGGATGGACCACATCTTTCATCCCCATGCAGAGGGACAGGGGCTGGATGAGGAGGTTGGGTGGAAATTTGTCTTTATCTCAGAGAACTGTGGGCCAGGAGCTCTCAGGACTCTGTCAGGGGAAGAGGAGGGGCTCCAGAAAGTCAAGGTTACTGATCTGACCTGGCTTTGTCACCTGAAGAATCTGATTCCCTCCATGTGGCTATCTTGATTAGGAAATTGAGCTGCTACCTGGGCAAGGGACCTTGGGAGGAGGAGGAGGGGCCTCCCTCATTCAGAGACAGTCTCCACAAGCCAACAGGAGGGAGTGGAGAGGACAAGACTTTCCTGTCACACTTCGCTCCAGCTCTTCTTTGCTGGACACTCATCTAGCCAGCAACCCTTGCCTGTCTTGAGTGCCTGAACTTGGTTTACTTTTCCACTCCGGTGTCACCCTTTAGTGCGGCATTCTCTGATTGAGGGTCTTTTCTCACAAACTCATCACAGCCAGCCACATTCCTGAAAGCTCCCTACTCCACATACCCCAGAGATGGTTCAAGCACAGACAAGACCTCAGTGAGAAGAAAGGCAAAGCAGACAGCACATCTTCAGTGTGAGGAGGAGAGGCACTGGACAGTGGCTCCACAGGAACAGTCGCTTATTTGTTCACTTGCCCTTTCAGCACTATTTCTAGGGCCTCTGCTACAGGAGTGGTACCATCCAATCCTGTAGGCCCCCTAGGTCTAGTTTCTTTGGACTGAGACATCCTGGGGGCTTCTCAGTCTGGAAGGAAAGGAGGTGGGAGCCAATACCCTAGGCCCCTAGTGCAGCTTTCAACCTTTCCTGCTGCTTCTGTATCCTGCAGGAACCTAGGAAAGTCTGGTCTTCGGGTGTCCTGTCTTGGCCTGGGTGAGTCAGATTAGGAATTAAGGGAAGAGGGGATTCTTTCACTGCATGCCTCCCACAGTTCTCACGTACCTGGCTCTTCTTTTGCAGGTACCTGGGTCACATTTGGTTCTCAGATCTCAGATGAGGTATAAGAGATGGGTTCTAGAATCAGGGTGGGGTTACAGGTGGGGAGGAAATCAGAAAAATGAAAAATGGACCTGGAAAGGGGTTTGGACAACAAGCATGGGGAATGAAAGAGCTGAAGCTGGAGGATGGAGGAAAGGGAAAGAATGTGGAAATCAGGGTTGAGGTGCCATGGGTTAAAGCGCAGTGAGGGAGCTAACTGAGGGGCAATGGTTGATATTCTTTTTCTCTCACCTCCCTAGACAGCAGAGGATGTGCTGACAGTAGCCTATGAGCACGGTATAAACCTGTTTGACACCGCCGAAGTGTATGCAGCAGGAAAGTAAGGACTGGGGTGAAAGCTCTATTACATTTGGAGGGCTGAGTAAACATCAGGGATTCTTCTTTCCCTCTAAAGGATCCTTGGAATTCTGAGAACATTTAAGGTCCAACCTTTCAGTTTATGGGTCCCTAAAACATTATGGGAGTTGTAGTCCCAACATCAGTTCCTCTCTTGTTTAGGGGTCAATAGGCATACTATACAGTCACATTCAATAAGACCAAAAATATAACCTGGACATCAATTATGTACCATTATTTGGGGATTACAAAGCTGGACTTTTAAACATACCATTTCATACCACATACTTATGACTTCCTACCAGGAGGAGCCAAAATGGATGACCAACCCCACTTCTTCTCTATCTGGCAAACACTTCCACTCATCTTCAAGACTTGACCCCAATATCAGCTCCTCCAAGAAGCCTTTGCCTAACTTCCCAAAGTTAGTGACCATGCCCCATAAACTTCATGGCACTTATACTGCTGTCGGACACACAATTATGTACCAAGTTATATACCCACATTTGCTGCTCAATTCAGGACTTCTCCCTTCATGGAACTTGTCTTGCTTTTTTCCAAGTACCTCCTAGCACAGAGCAGACACTCCTCATGGTATGAAATCAACATGCCCTCAAAAAGTGCATTCTGCCCAGGTGCAATGCCACATGCCTATGATCTCAGCTACTTGGGAGGCTGAGGCAAGAGGATTCCAAGTGCAAGGCCAGCCTGTGTAATTTAGGGAGACCCTGTCTTAAAATTAAAATAAAATAAAATAAAATGGCTGGACATGTAGCTCAACAGTAGAGTGCTTGCCTAGTGCATACAAAGCCCTGGGTTCAATCTCCAGTGTAGGGACTAGGGGGAGTATATACTTTTAAGTGCTTTAACAAAAAAGACAGAGATTTACAAGATTAAACAATAGGAAACATTTCAGTACTAGCCCTTCATAACAATTTAAGACTTGTCACAAGTTAGCTCATAATTACAAATAGGATGCTCAAGATTTGAGGAACCAATTTTATGAATAAGTGTAGCAATCAGAGAACATTTTATGGATGGGGTAGAATCCAAGCTGATCTTAGGATTCTGTGTGGAATTTTGCTGAGGCTCAGAGAAGGGGGAGGACAACCCAGATAGTGGAAATCAGATAAAGCAGTGTCTTCCCAGTCTTCACTAGTCTGTCCCTCTCTGACCATCCTACTCTATCCTTTTAATACCTACAGTAGGGCTTGGTACAAAGTTGATGCACAGCAAATATTTGTTGAATGAACAAAAGAATGAATGAATGAAGCTGGGAGTGATGGTACATGCCTGTAATCCCAGCACCCTGGGAGGCTGAGGCAAGAGGATCAAAAGTCTGATTCCAACCTGGGAAATTTAGTGAGAACCTATCTCAAAATAAAAAATAAAAAAGGGCTGGGGATGTTGCTTGGTGTGAAGGCCCTGGGTTCAACCCCCACTACTAAGAAAAAAAATAAAAGAGTGAATGTAATTATATGACTACACCCTAGCTCCAGGAGCCCTTTTTATTTAGTCCAAGATATAGCTGAGAACCCAGTTGGACTCCTGGTTTTAGCTCTATTTTACAAGAGAAGAAAAGGTGAGGAGGAAGGGAAAGAACCAATCTGCTTTGGAGGGGTCAGTGCCTTTGCATGTCTTTCTTCCAGGGCTGAAAGGACCCTAGGCGACATCCTCAAGCGCAAAGGTTGGAGGTGAGACTTTTGGGGGGTTGTTGGAGACATGATCACCCACAATTCCTTTTGTTGCTGGTTCTCCCATTTCTTTTTCCAGGAGATCAAGCTATGTTATCACCACCAAGATTTTTTGGGGAGGACAGTAAGTAGCTGCCCCATTACAATTGAGAAGACCCACAAAAATGTGTGTGAGCTGGGAGTGGTGGTACATACCTGTAATCCCTGCATTCTGGGAGGCTGAGGTGGGAGGATCACAAGCTGAGTCCAGCCTGGGAAATTTAGTGGGATTGTCTTAAAAAATAAAAAAGACTGGGACATAGCTCAGTACAAAGGCCCTCACTGGGCTCAATCCCCAGTACAGGCAATCAACTAAGTGTGAAGGTCTATCTGGGTTGCCGTGAGGACCCAAGTCTTGCCTGTGAGGACCCGTGGCATCTTAGTTTTTAATGGCTCCAGGCCAGCCCTCGTCCCCTATCTTTGTTACATCTCATCTTTGACATTTTTTTCCTACAGGGCAGAAACTGAGCGAGGCTTAAGTCGCAAACACATCATTGAAGGTGAGATTTGGGGGCTAGAAACCTGAGTGGCTAGGCATGGAAACCAGAGGAGCTGGGAAGATTTTCTGAAGCTCTGAATTTAAGAATTAAGATGGCCATGCCAAAGGAGTAGTTTCAATTTTTAGGAAACTGAAAATTGAGGTTCTCACCTTCCTCTCCCCACTCCCTCTTCCAGGCTTGCGAGGATCCTTGGAGCGCCTCCAGCTGGGATACGTGGACATAGTCTTTGCCAATCGCTCAGACCCTAACAGTCCTATGGAGGGTAAGAGTAGCAGCCCCAAACTGACAGCCCTTCAAAACTGAGCATTTCCTCAAACCCTCAGGAGGAAGCCAGCCCCACTGCCAAGACCTCCCAAGCTCCACAGAAGCTCAGACCCCAGGACTTAGGGAGAGAGGCAAAGAACAGATTCAAACATTTCTGGCTGCACAAAGACACCTGGGGTCTTGGTGGGGTGGGCAGAGGTCTGCAGATCTGGAGTCTTAAAGGCTAGGGGTCTGACAGTGAGGCTATCCCTCTCCTGTGTGCCTAGAGATTGTGCGAGCCATGACCTATGTCATCAACCAGGGCCTGGCCCTATACTGGGGGACTTCCCGATGGGGGGCTGCAGAAATCATGGTGAGTATGTGACCCCACTTCCCCTGTTCCACAACTGGTTCCCACTTTTTACTTGGCCACTTCAAGCCCCACCACACTGGAGGAGGGGGCAAGGGAGAAAATGCAAGGAATGCTCTAACCCTAGTCTCCTCTCCACCCTAACCCAGGAGGCCTACTCCATGGCTAGACAGTTCAATCTAATTCCTCCTGTGTGTGAACAAGCAGAACACCACCTCTTTCAGAGGGAGAAGGTGGAGATGCAGCTGCCTGAACTCTACCACAAAATTGGTGTGCAGCCCCTCATCCCTACCTAGCTCCCCATCTCCTCCAAGGCCTGGGTCCCTTTCCCATACCTACTCCTTTTTCTCTTAGGAGTCGGCTCAGTCACCTGGTCTCCTCTGGCCTGTGGACTCATTACCAGCAAGTATGATGGGCGTGTCCCAGATACCTGCAGGGCTACCATCAAGGTGCGATCTGGGGGCTCAGGGTGGCAGGGCCATACTATGTGGACTGCTGTGTGTGGTGGCCTTTTGCTGATTCTCCTTGGCATCCAGGGCTACCAGTGGCTCAAGGATAAAGTGCAGAGTGAGGATGGCAAGAAGCAACAAGCCAAAGTCGTGGATCTTCTCCCCATCGCCCAGCAGCTAGGCTGCACTGTAGCCCAGCTTGCTATTGGTGAGATACTGCTTGTTGTGGACACTTCAAAGGCCCTGTCTCCCCTCGAGATTTCCCAAACCTATCCAAGACTGTCCCTTGAGAGAACCCTATTCTTCAGAAACATCTCTGAGGTCTGTGTGCTCATTGCTCCCATGAGTTGTTGTTTTTTTTCTTCTTCTGGCTCCAGCCTGGTGTCTCCGCAGTGAGGGCGTCAGCTCGGTCTTGCTAGGGGTGTCAAGTGCAGAGCAACTGATGGAACACCTGGGTGCCCTACAGGTAAGCTGGGGATTCAGAGGCAGAACCCAACTCTGCCCCCTTCTCCAGCAGTCCATGCTGAGCTGTCCACCTCAGAATGGCGCTGGGGTCGGCCACTATACAAGCCTCACTTTGCCCGCGGAAGGCCCAGGCCACAGGCCCGGAAGGGAGTACAGTTGCAACTCTCCTTCCACCCCGCCGTGGTGCTTCCCTGGGCCCTCGAACGCCAAGCCTTTCTCAGTGACCCGGTAGGGCCTGCCCTGTCCACCTTCCCTCCTCCAGGTATTGAGCCAGCTGACACCGCAGACGGTGATGGAGATAGATGGGCTGCTGGGGAACAAATCGCATTCCAAGAAATAGTCCGTCGGAGGGGGCAGAAACCCAGTCCAAACCGCTGCACCCGCCAGAGAACTCCCGCCCCGGATCCTTCCACGCAGCGGCCCGAGCCAGGGTGGCGCCGCCCACTAACGAGTCCCGGCTTCGATAGCGCTGCGCATGAACAAAGCCATATCCTTCCGCAGTGGGGCTTCAGAGAGAAAGTAGTCCACCCGCCTCCTACTGCGTCCTTGTAGGCCTTCTTGCTATCCCTGGGCATGAGCTATGGGCCGTCCCCTCTCTGCCTTTTGGTCTCGCTCCTTGCTCTCTTCTTCCTATTGCCGAGGCCCAGAAAAATACCGACAGATACAGCATAAGAAAATGCAAACTAAAAAATGGCCCTTGAACTGTCATGGGAGAAGAACCTAATAAGTGAGTTGTGATGTCATCTGGGACACAGGACATGGGTCTTCACATTATTGGATACAAAGGAAGCCAGGCTGGTCCTGGCAAGAAGTAAATGATAATTTTTGAGAAACTAGATCCTTGTGTCCCAACCTGAGGTAGGAGAAGATTTAAATCTAGAACTAGTTTAATACCTTGTTCTTGCAGAGAGGGAGTAAGGGTGGGGAATACAATGACACAGCACTGACCTAGGCAGAGGGAAATTAGCGTGGGCTGGCAAAAGTGGCCAGGGTGGACAAAGAGCAAAGTTTGGTGGTGCTTTGCAGAAATTAGTGATAGCCTTTTGATTACCAGCAGAGACATAGGGCTGACCAACCAGGGTCTGAGGACAAACTTTTGAGCCTTGAGCTGGACTTCCTACCTGGCAGTAAAGTACTGCAGTCTTCCGTCTGGCAATAACCCTAAAGCAATAATGATGGCTCCTCTTCTACTGTAAGAACTTCCCAGGGAACTATAAATAAAATCTCAGCTTGATCCTCATGGTGTCTGGAATTGCAGGGGACTAAAACATTAGGGTCACTGTCTCACATACTGGTCCTCTTGTCCCCAGTCATTAGAAAGCTCTCTGAACTAGTTTTTCTCTCCATTCACCTCAGTGACTCAGGAGTAGGGCACTTGGTCACTGTTCTCAAGGACTTAGACAGCAGGTACCCTCAGGACTGGGTACCCAACTTCTTTAGAACGTAGTGATCGGGCTTCCTAGTTTTGCTGCTTAATCTAAGAAACTCCTGTCTGATGCTCTTGGTCTTTTTGTTTTTAAAGGTGTATTAGCCATACTTTTTCTATTTTGTACTTCTTTTCCTCTAGCCTGACACATGTATTCCAAGCAATTATTTGAGTAGTTTTCTCATGGGTGGGAGAGGCTGCTGTGAGGCTGAGGATTTCTGATTTGACGAACGGAAAAAAAGTGCAGACCTGTCTCAGATGGAGCAGATACAGAGAGGGGGAAAGGAGATAATTTTAAAAGGAAAAAAGAAAACCAGTAAAAGATCAGAGGGTGCAGGTCACAGAAAGGCAAAATCAAATTGGGATGTCAGATACTGCCCCTATTTTTTTCTCCAAAGGACTCTGATTTCCTGGGGTGGGTGGAAAGTTACAGCCTTTAAAGATCACAAGGAAGAGGAGGATGAGCTCCACTTTCCTTCAAGACAATTTTACCATCTCCCTTCTACCCCTTCTCATCCTGCCTCAATCCTGAAGGTGGGAGTGCAGAGTAAAACTAATTTCCAAAAGGGAAAACCCAGCAGCATGCCATTTACTGGATGAGCAAACAACAGGATAAACTAATGAATACTTACATCCGCCCAATCATCTCCCACTCATTTTGGAAGACTGGAGGAAACAAAGAAGTAAAATGTATGACTAAACTATGATTATTTCTTCTGCAACAAACATAAAATATTATCCTCCTGGGTTGGGTGTGGTAGCATATGCCTGTAATCCCAGCACTCAGGAGGCCGAGGCAAGAGGATCTCTGTGAGTTCGAAGCCAGACTGGGCTACAAAGTGAGTTTAAGGCCAGCCTGAACTACATAGTGAAACCCTGTCTTAAAAAGACCAAAAAAAAAAGTCCTCCTTAAATGCCCTCTTGAAAGGTTATGCACTTCTTACAATGCTGCCTCCCCCATTGTTAAACATTTTTAAAACCCTTGGATGCCTTCAAAGCAGGTCTAGAAACCCCTTTCAAACAAAACCTTCCTGTGTTGTCACACCTCCTCCATATATAAGCATTTGCCATATTTCTCACTCACCTCATTCATGAATTTATGAAGTATTTGTTTATTGAGTCTTATGATGTGGCACAGTGACACAATAGTGAACAAAACCAGCCTCAGAACTTTTGTGCAGTTTACTAACGGGAGAGACAATCACATGACTACAAGTCAAACACACAAACTTCAGTTGTCTGATGTCCAGAGGAAAGTACATGGTCTTAGTGTCTGTAATGAGTATTTGACACAATGAGGTTGGCCTGACAGCAAAAAGATGAGTAGGTGTTAATCCTTGGGAAAGCAAGAGAGGGGAATAGTGTATGTGAAGGCCTTGTGACAGAGGAAAGCTGTGTTAGCTGTCACTTGGACAAAATACCTGTGATAAGCAATTTAAAAGGAGAAATGGTTTCTTTCAACTCAAGGACAGAGGTTCCAGTCTATGGTCACTCTTAGTCCTGTTGCTTTTAGGCCTGTGGTGAGGCAGCACAGCATGGTGGGAGAAACCACTTACTTCATAGTGGCCCAGAAGTGGAAAAAGGACAGGATTGGGGTGTCAGTATCCTCTTCATGGGTACACCCCCAAGGACCTAACATCCTTCACCGGGCTCCACCTCCCAAAGGTTCTGCCACATTCAGATGGCACCATCAGCTGAGGACCAGGCTTTCAACACATAAGCCTTTGGGGAACATTTAAGATCCAAACCACAAGGCAAAAGTCTCCAGACTGTCTAAGGAGGAAATATAATCTGAAGCATAGGTGAGTCAGAGCACACAGAGCCTTTAGCATACAAACTTTAGGATATTGTCTTTATCCAAATGACAACAGGAGAGCCTCTTTCAGTTATCTGTTGACATACAACAATCACCCCAACACCTAATAGTCAAGCAGCTTTTTTATTTTTTTATTTTTTATTTTATTTATTTATTTATTTATTTATTTATTTTGGTTTTTTGGTTTTTCTCCGGTACCGGGAACCGAACTCACGACCCTGCGCTTGCCAGGCAGGTGCTTTGCCGCTGAGCTAAATCCCCAGCCCCAAGCAGCTTTTTTAAATTTTTTTTTTTTTTTTATGATTCTGTGGACTGGTTGCTATTTTTACCTCACTCACACAGCTGCATTCAGCTGGCAGGCTGGGTGAACAGGAACACCCAAGGTCTCACTAGCAGGTCTGACAGTGAGCTCTGGCTACTGCTGGGTGCATCTCTATGCTCCTTGTGGTCTCATCCTCCAGTGGTCTAACCCTATTTATATGGTGGCCTCAGGGCAGCATTCCAAGGGGGAAAAGGCAGAAGCTGAAAGGTCTTCAAAAGACTAGGTGCCAGATTTATGGCACATTCTATTCGTCAAGGCTAGTCACAAAGCCACCCCAGACACAAGGGACAGGAAAACAGACACAGCTCTTAATGGGAAAAGCAACAAAGCCACATTACAAAGGAAATAGGGGCCATTCAACTGTCACCACATTAACAGACTTTAAAGAGAAGAAAGAGTGTGTGGTGGGACACGATGGGGTTTGAGCTTTGGAAAGATCTCTGGAAACAAATATAGAGAAACATCTGAAGGCCACAGTGCCTGTAAGTAGACGGTTAGATGGCTGCTGCTGGGGTCTAAGCAAGGGGTGATGGCAACTTGGACTAAGGTGGTGGGCAGCAAATGAAAAAAAGTAGGTGGATGAGAGAGATACTTAAACAAAATGACCAAAGCTTGGTGATTGGTTGATAAAGGAAGATGAGGGCAAGGGAGGTGTGAAGGATAATAACTAGGTTTCTGGAGTTGAGCAAAGGAAGAGGTAGGAAACACTGCTCCCAGTTTGGTATTAGTTCATCAGTTCGGATTCCGGAAGATAAACAGGCTACGCAGCAGGTGACAGGATATACAGATCTGAGGCTTAGAGCAGTCCCTTGGCTATCAAACAATTTGGGTATATTTACATACAGTAATAAAATCTACCTTAAAATATGAAAGTTTAGCCGGGCATGGTGGCACACAACCTGTAGTCCCAGGACTTGGGAGGTTGAGGTAGGTCAGTCACTGCAAGTTCAAGGCCAGCCTAGGCTACATAGTGAGTTCAAAGCCAACCTGAGCTAAATGAGACACTCTCAAAAAAGAAAAAAGATTACGTTTTCTCACCAACTGAAAATAGTTAAAAATGTGACCCACATCTTTCTAGTGGAACGTCCAAAAAAGTTTTTAATTATAACAGCTTCAGTGGTATACAGTTTCCTCTAAGTGGTCATGAAGACAACACACAGTTCTGAAATGTTTGCTTAAAATTAATGGTACACCCTCTCACAAAAGACTGCCCTCTAGATTTTAACAATTTAGTTAAAAAACAAAACCTGCTTTACAGGACCTGGGATAAGCCAGTAAATGCATGGGTGTACAGAAGCCCATCTTATCTCAACCAAAAAAGATGGGTGTTGAAAATATGTACTGAGAAGTTAAAGCAAACATAATATAGAATGGGAGTCCAGGAAGATAATGACAGCTAGTACTTACCTGGTATTTAATGTGTACCAGGTACTATTTGTAAGCATCGTACATATACAGGCTCTTTCATTCCTTACTATTATTGTCCACACTTTGTAGATGAAGAAATCAAAGCCCAGAGAAATTAATTTGCTCACAGTCTCACAACTTCTGGTAGAGGTTATGACTTGTACTCCAGCCTCCACAACAGAACCTGGGCTGCAGGTGCAGGAGAGGTGGTAACGAGGCAGCTGTGTGTAGGTGTCACATCTTGAGAGAATGTGGGCTGTGAGTACCATGTCCTGTTTACCTGTGGGGGAAGTCAGACCCTTGAGTCAGAAGTCATGCTGGGCTGCTTTGCTGGAGCCATCATAGTGTGTAGGTGTCCACATACTCCAGAAGGAAATGATTCCCAGCATTCCTAGTGGCCACAGTCCTGAAATCAAAGTCCCTCTTTAGGCTAAGGTGTCAGCTGGAGTTGTACACTTTGAGAATAAAATTTGGGAATCTAGGTTTACAAGAACATCGTGTGTGTGTGTGTGTGTGTGTGTGTGTGTGTGTGCACGCGCAAGCGATAATGTGATTGAGGTCAGAAAGAGAGTTACTACCCAGTAGCATCCAAACATCCAAGAGCTCATTAAAGGCTGGGCAGAACAAGCAGTACAACTAGCTTATGAACTGTGTAGGGTTGTGAAACAGTGAGCAACTGACAAATGGGAGTAGGGTATTTGGGGACCTGGGGATTTGCGCATGGCACCATTTAAGAGTGTGGGGGTGAAAGAGTTTATCGAAGGGGCAATGGATGATATGTGCCCAGGGCAGTACTGGAATTGCCTGGTCGCCTCCCTGGCTCCACCATCTCTAGCATTCCGGCCTCGCGCCTCCTCCACCCCCACGCTTGCAGCCGCAGGGAACTGCCCGACAGCCGCGTGACGCCTCGAGGGCGGGGCCGCACTATTAAAAGGAGAAAGAGCCCGCGGCGCCGGCCCCAGGACTCGACCTAGGCCGCACGAGTGCCCGCTCGTCCTGTCCACGGAGTTCGCCGCGTTAGCGACGGGCTCGGGTCCACGGCGGGCACGATGCAACTCCTGGTGAGGGTGCCTTCCCTTCCGGAGAGGGGCGAGCTGGACTGCAACATCTGCTACCGATCCTTCAACCTCGGTGGCCGCGCACCCCGCCGCCTGCCCGGCACGGCGCGCGCCCGCTGCGGCCACACACTGTGCACCGCCTGCCTGAGCGAGCTCGCTGCGCGCGGAGAGGGCAGTGGGGCGGCCGCGCGCGTGGTGCGCCTGCGCCGCGTCATCACGTGCCCCTTCTGCCGAGCGCCCACCCCTCTTCCTCGCGGCGGCGTCACGGAGGTCGCTCTCGACACAGACCTGTGGTTACGATTGGAAGAAAAAGCCCGCGCTGACCGCGAACGAGAAGAGGCGGGGATCCCGGCCAAGGAAAGCTGCGACGCCGATGGAGAGGCAAACGGAGAACAGGAGTGCGAGAGGGGAGCGGGGCCTAGAAGCGCGGGATGGCGCGCGCTCCGGCGGCTCTGGGACCGGCTCCTGTTGCCTGCGCGCCGCTGGCGGCGTCCGCTGCCTAGCAACGGTGAGGGGCGGCCCCCGGAGGATGCCAAGGAGAGCATGCCGAGGAACACTGGGGTGAGGCTGCATCTTTCAGCTGCCACTAACCATTCTTCTTTTCCCCAGTGCTGTACTGTCCAGAGATCAAGGACTTTGCCCACATGACCCGGTGCACGCTGTAACTGAGGAAGATCGAAGCTATAGCAGAAAGGTGGGAGCTGCAGCCTCAGGCGCGCTTTAGTAGAGCGTCTGAAGTCACGACTACACCCTCCCCTACCCTGGGATTGGAGTGTGATGAGGGAGTTGAGCCGAGGGCTGGAGGAACGCCCTGGGAGGTGCTGATGCTAAGCTGGAGAGGGCCCTAGATAAACTCGCCCCCACGTACTGATGGTGCCAGCACCATCAAGATGGAGTAGTCCAGAGATAATGTAAACAAAGCCTACGTTATAGTAGGAAGAAAACAGGCTGTTTGATTTGGCTTCTGTCCAGGGCGCCTGTGGAATGTGGGAGCAATAGATCTCATTTTAGCAGTTGTCAATGGTTTGAAATTGTTAAAAAAAATGGAAGTCATAAGAAAAAAGATGGAAGTCATGTTAATCTCTTCTCTGGCATGTAAGGACACTGGTATGCCTACTGTCTCCCAGTCCCAGTTGTTTTCCAGAAATTACTGAGATGCCTCCCTGTTTTGATTAGGGGCCTTGCTTCATTTCTCAATCTCTCTTCAGCCTGCTAGTGCAGGTATCAGAAGGTCCACTGGACATTTATATGAGGCACCGAATTAAGGCTTATCAAGAACAGGAGGAGGCCAGGCCGGGAATGTAGCTCAGCGGCACAGCACCTGCCTGGCAAGTGCAAGGTCATGAGTTCAATTCCCGGTACCAAAAAAAAAAAAAGAATGGAAGGAGACCCATTTGGTGAAGGCATCACCATTTGAATTTTTGATATTATCTATATTATCTTCACAAGGACACTCTGGCACTACTGGAAAAATATGCTTATATCATTTTAAACTTGTGTCCTACAATGGGACACCATCTGTTGTACGTCATGAATTGCTTAGAGCCATAGTCAGGAACTAGCACTGGTGTCACTGGGAGCTTGTTTGAAGTAGAACTTCAGGATCCCATTCTACACTTAGTCAGACTGCACTTTTAACAATCCCAGTGAGTCATGTGCATACAAGTTTAAGGAGCACTAGTCTGGATCCTAGATGCTCTATGATGTCACCATTTGTAGGTATAATATTTACAGCATGTTATACTATCTTACTGAAAGTTCCAGAGTGACAGTCTAGTGAAGAAAACTTACACTTTTCTGAGTTAAAAATGTGAATTTCACTATAGACCTCAATTTGTTAGGGGTCTCCAAGGTTTATTTTTGAATGATAGACCATAAATGTATCCATTTTAGGGTATAAACATCAATTTGAAAATCATACTTTTGCTATTTTCCTTAAGTCTTAATTTATCTTCCCTTTTGAGAGCCCCTTTCCCTACCCTCTATAACACATAATGTCTGGTTTTATTTGTACTGCTTTTACTTCCTGGTATTTCATGTTTTGTGATTGTCCCAATTCTGTGAGAGCAATGACGTGTTTTTATCTCCAGGCCCAACAGCAGTTGTATAGCATACACTCAATAAATATTTGTTGGATTTATCTCTTTTTTAATATAACCTCAAGCACTAAGTGTCTGGCCTTACTCATTCTCTTAGTGTGTTGGTGAACAGTACATGCCAAGAAACATCTAGCAGTTGAAATCTTTCTCAAGCTATACAAGTCTGACCGCACCCACTTAAAAAAAAAAGTGTGCACCTCCACTTCATAATGGGATTGAATCTGTGGAGCTGTAGTGACCTCTGCTGACTCTTAGGGGAACTGAACAATTTGAAGGTGGAAAGGACAATCAAAAGGAAGGGAAGGCAGTTTCCGATCTTGCAAGATAAAGTACTCCTACTGCCACACTTCTGTCCAAGAGGCCCTTTCTGTAGCAAGGCTACAAGGGCACATTAGGGATCTTGCTGCTCACCATCCCTACACTGAACTCATTACATGGCTGGGGTGGGAAAAAGGGCTTCAATTTTAGAGAATGATCCAAGAGATAAATATAAGGCAAAGAAAACGTCACAAGATTGAAAATTTTCAAAAGTGAAAGATGGATAATATGAAATGGCAGAAATCTTTCTTATCCCTTGCCCCTCCCTCAATTTCCCCCAGCCAAAAATAACAGAGCACACAGAAAGGAAAGTATAATTTATATGTACAACCAATAAACCTGATACAGAAGAGGGGATTGGGACAGACCAGGAGTGCGTGTGAAGAGACTGGGAAAGGGAAGCAAGAAAGTGAAGGGGCAGTGAAGAGGAAGTGGGAGGTTCGCCATGCAAACTGCCACTCCCTAGCCCCTCCTGGGAAGGGGTGTGTGCCCACATCTCCCTCGCCTGCCTCCACTGTGTTGCTCTGGTCCCACAGATATGAGTGTCCCTTGACTAGGCCCCCTGCTTGCATGGCTCTCATTTAGTCTGTATCCAGGCCTTGATGAGGGAGGGTAGAAGTCCCCCAGGAACCTGAGCCCCAGAGTGGGGTCTGCCCCCTTGTCTGGCTCACTTCTCCCACGTTTTCTAGGTTACCTGGGTTCCTAGAACAGGTTGGGGAGCTCCTCTTTGGCTTGAGAGAGTTACCATCCAGCTATTACTTTTTGTTGGGGGTGGTCCTGGTGCCTGGGGAGGAGGGGAAAGTTCCCAACACAAGATGCTGGTACACAGGAGATAACTGAGCAAGTGAATGGCGCCTTTATTCTGAGGCTGAACAGCGATTGACTTTCTCCCTTGTAGCTGTTCCACCCTCCATTTGGGGAAAGGCAGGGGAAAGTTAACATGCAGCCACCCCTCCTCTTCCCTTCTCCCTCCCAGGGCTCATTTTCATCCCTCTCTCAAAGTCCTCCTCTCTTTGAAACTCTTCCCCATGGAAGTCCCTTTAAAGGCCAGGCATGGTCAGTACCCACTTCTGCAGGAGGTGGAGTTGATAATGTCGGCAAAGAGACCAGGGAGGTTCCACCTCTTCCTCCCCACAACCATTTACTGGGAAGCTGTGTATATTTGGCAGTGGGGGATAAAGGTATTTGGAAGACCCTGCTAACCCTCCCATCCAGACCTCCTCACACCAGCACAGTCTTCAAAGCTTGGTGGGAAAGGTGTGTGGGGATGAAGAAAGACAAAGGGCCCTTCTTGAAGATAGAGTTACAGAAGGGCAGAGGGGCGCCTAGCCCAGTGGTGGCCCAACAGGTGGGGAAGGTGGTGGGTTGGCAGCAGCCTCCAGGGCCTGGGTAGGGGGTCGGCCTCGGGACCGGGGCCTGGGTGAAGGGCACGCCTGGGATCCAGTCAATCGTCTATACAGATCACCTCCCCGGCTCGGGGCTCCTTCCGATCCAGCCCGTCTGACACCAATGCCCCCACCATTTCCTTCTCCTTCTTCACCAGCACTGGAGGGCCATTGGTGGCGGCTGTTTGGGACGGGAGTAAGGAAAGGTCAATCCCCAATCACTCCCAAATATCACTTTCTGACAACAACGTATTACTTCTACGTCACCTCCTGACACTTCTGATTTTCCTGGCTATAGGGCAGGAAGACCAGGGCAAACACCTCTCCCTGAGTCCCCTTGCCACATTACTGATGCTCTCCTGTCCCCCTTCTGACTTTGCTTTCCCTTGAGGTGACCCAGATGCAAGGTCAATAGAACCAACTAAAATCTTGGGTAAGGTTTTTGACAATAAGGGTAGAACAAAGCCCAGAACAACTAAATTCCCTACAACGCTGTACACTTCCAAGAAAAACACTGTATACTTGGGCTGGAGGACTTGGGAGCCAAGCAAGAATGAAGCCAGGTGGAGGAAAAATGAAGGAAGCAGGGATTAGGAAACCACCAGCTAACCTGTTATGAAGGACCCTGCCGGCATCTGGCTGTAATTGGCGCCTGCGGCGGCCAGGGCCCCTACGGGCGCGGCGCTGAAGGCCGCGCCGTACCCCGGAGGTGTGGCGTAGGGACCCGGGGGGAAGGCCTGGAATAGAGAGCAAGCTGAGGTTAGTCAGTCCATAGTCTCTGAGAGAGAAGAAGCTGTATTGGAACACGAGCCACACTCCAGAACTACTGAGGGTGTGACAGAGGCAGGGAGACTCACTCAAGGGTGAAGACTGTGGTCTAGCAGGTTGTTTTTCCATATGGTATAGGAGTTTGGGGTGTGTGTATGTGTGTGTGTGTGTGTGTGTGTGTGTGTGTGTGTGTGTGTGTGTGCAAGAGGAGCACCAACAGGGAAAACGAGTTAGGGGGAAAGAGGGTTACCGGTGTGGGGTGAGGCTCCGTGCCCTTGCTGGCCAGCCGGCTGAGGATGCTGCGCTCGGACATCTGAAGGCGGGCTGCGATGGGGGGTATTCGGGACAGCGTGGCTGGCAGGCGGGTCACGTCCGCCTTCATGTCGCTCAGCAACTCCTCCAGCTGGTTCAGAACTGGGGCCCGGGCCACGGAGAAAGAAGGGCAAGAGAGGGAAAGAGAGAGATGGAGCCAGGAAAAGTGACAAGGAGTCGTATGGACAGATGTAGTCAGAGAGAAAAAGGATGATTAAGATGTCAAGGAACCACAGACCAAGTGACAGAAGAAAGTAATAGAAAGTAGAAGAAAAAGAGCAACTCGGGGAGGGGGAAAGGCAAAGTGTCAGGATAAGAGAGAGGCCAGGCCACCACAGAGGACAGATAGAGAGAAAAAGAGAAAGGGAAGATGGAAAAAAGGGAGGTAAGGGAGGACATTGGAAGACATAGGGGCGGGGAGTTGTCAGAACATCCCATACTGGAAGAACGAGGTTTGGGGGTTGGGGGTGATGGGGAGGAAATAGTCAGGAGGCATGGGAAGTGGTCAGTGGTGCCAAAAATTAAAGGAATCAAGGTTTTAATACATAAGGGGGAAAAGAGGTTAAAGGGTCAGCATTACAGATTAAGGAATTAGAACAGGGATCAAAGGGGCCAGGAGTCAGTCACTATACCAGGCAGAGTTAGATGGTTAGAGGACTTTGGGATTTAATCTATAGTTATCAAGGTAAGAGGGTGTGGGGAAAGGTTTGAAGGTCAAAGGGAAGTTTCATAGGGTAGGCTGGGAGAGGCAGACGAGTGGTAGTTTCTGCCTCATGGAAGGAGTGATGATGTGAAGGAACGTGATCTGTGAGATCAAAGCTAAGGACATTTATGGTGTAGACAAAATCCAAGGTCTCAAATTGGGTGACATTAGCAGCATGGCAGGTGTACAGCACAGCCAGGGAAGGAATCCCACTGTGTGGAGGGGACATGCATGTAGGGAAGTCCCTGCTGGGCAGTGACATGAACACTCGCAGGCATGGAGAAGGGTTGGTTTGCACAAGTACTAGAAGCTAAAATTCAACAGGGTGCCAGATGGGTCAGAGTAGGGTTAGAGGTCAGAGGGGGTGGTTCAGAGGGTAAAAGGGCCAGGGGGTGGGAAGATTTAAAGGGGTGCGGGGTGAAGACTTACGCAGCGTTGTGGGCCCTCCCCCGCGCGGGGCCGCCGCGGCCCTTACCCTTGTGCAGGACAGCGTTGGCCGGCTTGTTCCCCGCCAGCGACTCCTTGGAGAGGTGCTGGTGGCTCTCGGCCAGGCACTCGGCCTCGGCGAAGCGGGCGTGGAGGGCCATGGCGGGGTGCGCCGGCTCCTGTGACAGGTTCAGGTAGGCCGCCCGCCGCAGCTGCTCCTCGATCACCAGCGCCTGCTCCAGGAGCTGAAGGCATGGGGTAGGGGTGAAGGCAGGGCTCTGCCAGCCACACGTGAGCAACACGGGGACAGGATACAGCACTGGAGACTCACCCTGCCTTCACTGCTGGCCCATGGCACCCGTATCTCCTCTCCACACCGACCCTGACCCCAGCATCAACCCTGATCCAGGCCAGAGTTTCCAACACAAGGTTAACTTTAGTCTTGGCCTCAACCTACCTTTCCTGGGTTTGGAGAAGATCTGACCCCTCTACTAACATAAGCCCCTCATCAGCCCTATTCCTTTCTTCCCTTATCCCCACCTTGAACCTCCGGGCCAGGAACTTATTTTTCATCTCCAGAAAATTCCCCTTATTGGCTTCAGTTTTAAATGGCTCATTGATAATGGCAAACTGAGCATCGTTCTGGATGTCCTGCCACCGTGCATAGCCATGGCTGCCAAGGAAGGAAGGGGACCATCAAGGAATTTAACAGGGATGGCTTTGGCTGTGAACACTTTTCCTTTTACCCATGATCTCCCCGAAGTGTGGCTCAGCCCCCCTTCCCTGGTGTGGGCTCTTCTCTGTAGTTCCCCTCTCTCTTGAGAGAACCTTGCCATCCTCACACTGTATCAAAGGATACAGGACAATCCCAGCCAGAAGCCAATAGTCATGTCTTCGGTGCCAGATCTCATTGAGTTTCCCTGAGGAAATGGCTGCCCGTTCCTCATTCTGCCACAGCGTGTGAAGCTCTAAAGAGAGGACAACAAACAGAGAAGGCATCAGGGGTTTGCAAACCACATCCAGCCTGACAGGTATGAACAGGAACTTGACAGAGTACTAAAGGCTCCTCTGGAGGAGTGGAGAAAAGCTACACTGAAGGTAAGGAATAAAGTTAGTTACAAACAAGGTTCAAGTTAAGACTGAGATGAAAGG